TATATATATATAATATAGATATGATCTCTTTGATGACTTATACACATCATAAAAAATAGTCATAGTCGTGAGAAAAATTGTTGTAATAACTTATAGAATAATGAGTGGGGCTGGAAGATTTCAGTTTAATATATCTATTAAAGAGAGAGAACAGGTCTCAAATAATGTATATTATTGTTCTAACATATTTTTTTGTCACGCGATGTCGCATACAAAATAAAATACTAACAATAAGAAAAAATCAGTGGACATGTTGTCAACATGAAATCATGTTGATCTTTTAATGAAAGATATTCTCGGTTTAGTATTAAAATAATTGTAGCAAATTATCAATGTTGATTAATAATTCAGCGAGCGCATATATAAATGTGAGTATATTATTCCCTCCCGTTAGATAATAAACATTTTACGCAAAAGAAAAAAAAATAGAAACAATTCAAAAACTGCTGCCTAAAACTAGCTTTTTGATAAGAGTTGCGTACACAAGTTTTGTTAATTTTTCTCAAGTAAAAGAAAAAAAAAGAGAAAATGTGTTTGATAAAATATTCCTTCAAATGAAAAAAAGAAACGTACACAATGGTAAATAATTTAAAAATTCATAAAACAAAAATTACAAATATTACTAGTATCGTGAATTACTACTATCAGCAGTAATATTATTGCACATTATTTCATTCGCGAGATTCGTTAATAATAATCTATACGAAGCGAAATGAGTTTGATCTTTCACATCACATTCGATAGAACAGATTTATAGAAATGCATAGATATAATATGAGCAAAACTGACTTAATTAATCTCGACGTTAATAAAAATCCATGGTCCGTCATTTTCTGCTTGTATTTGTCAGAATCCAATGTGACTGCAGCGAGGGGGGGGGGGGGGGGATTTTAATATCGATGCAACCATCGCATCGGCCCCTATCGATTTCCTCGAGCGAAACGGCATACTATTTTAGAAAGCGATCGCGTTTCTCGCCGATCCCGTAGTTTCGCGCACACACATCGTCAAACGTGTACGTCGATAAGAAGAAAAGAGAGAGAGAGAGAGAGACCCCACCCGTTATCGTTTATCAGTGACCTCGCGCGGTCACGCCTCTTCGATAACGAGAAAGAACGGCCAGCTCTAGTCGGTCGATCTCCAGCAGTCTTCACCCCCTCCCTCTTCTTTCGTTCCATGCGTCTTTCTTTCGCGACGGTGCATCAGGATGTATCTTTCTAACAGCATCCAAGGCTCTTGAATCAAGAGCGTCTGCGTATCGATCGCGTAACTATCGGCGCGTCGCGGTTTTCATCATTTACCGCGTAACCTTTCAGTTTCAAACATTATATGTAATTTATGTAAATAAGCCTCGATTAAGATTTTATCCAAAGTCTATTCGAAGATAATTTTATCATTCGTTCATATTTCTCTAGATTTTAATTTAAACGAAGCTCTTAAATCGCTTATATTAGATTCAAAAAGCCACGAATATTGCTTAAATATTCGTCGCGAATGATAAAAATTAATAGACGAGAGAATTCTCGCGGAAATACCACTTATTGTCGCGCGCGCTCAATTGGGGGACACCCTGTGTGTAAAACTCTCGCTCCGCTGACGCATCGGCCATGCGATAAAACCAGACGGATGATGATTCGGCCATGGTTAGCCGTTGACGAGTCGCGCACGGCATGACGCGGCCCTCGGCGGAATAGAAGAGAGAACGACCGAACGAACGTGCGAAATGCACGGCCGTGTCGTGATCCGGCCAGAGAGAAGAGCGACCGACCGACCGACCGACCGACCGGATGTCACTTCCTGCTCACCACGTCTGCGCATCGTTGTAACGCGAACTCGGTCCGCCCGCCCTTTCGTCCTCGTCTCCTTTTTCGAACTCGTATACCGCGTATTTAACGGTATTTATTGCACTGCGTTAATATTTTCCAAGCTACGTCAAACGCCAGAAAACTTGTATAAAGGATGTCTCTCTACTCGAACCCTGTAAAAAAATTTTCTGAAAATTCCCCGACCTTTCAGGTATTTTTATTTAAAATTCCGGGTAGAGAGAATATTTTAAAGATTTTTTTACAATTTTCTAAAATGGAATTTTTTTGTTACGTGTTTTCTAATGCTTTTGTGCTAGATTTGCACAAATATACTGATAAAAATACTGAATACCCTTGGTAAGATAAACGTGCGTTTCACTTGCATAATATTTTTATTTTGTTATCGATAAAAAAATTATAATGAGGAATATGTACTGCACATTCAATACTTTGTTAAGGTAAATGTATTGAATATATATAAAGATAGATACAATGTAAAAAAATTATGAAAAAGACGATTATTAAAAAAATTCCTCAAGTCGCAATAAAAAATTTCATGAGAATTCCTTTATTTTTCCAGGTACAAAACAAATGCTTGAAATTCCCAGGTTTTCCATATTTTTCCAGGAAGTACATTGAAAAAAAAAAAAATTGTTAACTTGACTAAATCCATTCAACTAATTACAATTTTTTAAATTAAAATATTTATATATTTAAGTCAAATATACGTCATGTTAGATTTAATATGTCGTATTTGACTTAAATATATAAATATTTCAATTAAAAAAATGGGAATTAGTTGAACGGATTTAGTTAAATTAACAATTTTTTTTTTTTTTCAGTGTAAAGACACCCTATTGTACGAATTTTCTTTCTTCGATTATATAATTTTTCAAAAATAATGTAGAATATTTGTGATATATTGATTAATTATATATAACTTTCCAAGTTATACAACGTGAAATTAGAGAAATAGATCTCGCTCTATTATCGTTCGTCATGCAGCAGAGATCCGCGGTCAGTATCAGAGAGAGAGGATGTCTCGGATAACATATAGATCCGTTTCTAACCGAATGAACGCTCTAACGGCGCGCTATTTATGCACTATCGTTTCCGTTTTACAATCTTCCGCGCGAAATGCAAGTGAGCGAGTGCGTTTATCATATATTATCTAGTATATTATCATAACGCGGCCGTTAATTGGCCGCGCTCTACGTGTATCTTCGCGCTTTCTTTTAAGGACGATGAGAGAGAGAGAAAGAGAGAGAGAGAGAGAGAGAGAGAAATGGATCCAGGATATGCGCCACATACCGGAGAAATGTATCTACGCGCGATCTCTCTTTTATTCTCTTTTTTTTATTTTGTTATGCTCTATTAGCGAGCAAACACGCGTTCGCGCTGTCCTGGAATGCGCTTTTTCGATCCTTTCTACTATTAATTTGGCGAATTTATCGTCTTACCGTGAAAATGTCGTGCCGCACGATCGATCCCGGCCGTTTTAAATCCTTAACGATTTTCAACAGATTGCGATATGTAAATTTAATATAGAGAATGCAATAATGTGTGTGTGTAATGTGATTTATCCATTGCTTCGTCGTAGCAGTTTTCAATAATTTGCATATTAATAAAATTAGAATATTAATAAAAGAGTTATAATATTTTAAAAAACAAAATATATATATATATATATTTATAAATAAGAAATAATTTAATAGAAATTCCAGATATATTCTATTCAGACATAGATATTTATAAATTTTAATAATCTTCTAATATTCTGTCAATTTTATAACACTATGTAATCTTAACAATATTTTAATAATCATTCATAACTTTTGGTGCAATACATACAAATTATTTCTAATGTACATCATTCGCGCGCGCCAATTATGATACGCGATGTCCTGGAATGCGCTTTTTCGATCCTTTCTACTATTAATTTGGCGAATTTATCGTCTTACCGTGAAAATGTCGTGCCGCACGATCGATCCCGGCCGTTTTAAATCCTTAACGATTTTCAACAGATTGCGATATGTAAATTTAATATAGAGAATGCAATAATGTGTGTGTGTAATGTGATTTATCCATTGCTTCGTCGTAGCAGTTTTCAATAATTTGCATATTAATAAAATTAGAATATTAATAAAAGAGTTATAATATTAATAAAAATTGTTTTCAAGACAAAATTATTTACGACTTTTTTAACTAATGTACATCATTCGCGCGCGCCAATTATGATACAAAATTTTTAAAAAAGATGTGATTATCGTGTTTGAAATCCCAGGTACTATCTCGGTGAAATCATCCGAAGATAACATCGCGGACACCCGGTGTGTTGCGGGTATTCTTTCAAGGTGAAGAAACGGTATGCTCGGTATGCGAGCGAGGAGGGACACGGGCAAGCAGATGGGCATAA